GAGAAGGTGAAGGGGATTGAGGAGGTGGTCCCGGAGGACGACTTTTTGGACGTCTTCAGCAAGTCCCATTCGGAACGGTTGCCGCAGCATACCAAGTATGACTTACCCATTGACCTGGAACCTGGGGCCCCCCTGCCTAAAGTCGGCAAGCTGTACCAGTTGTCACTGGAAGAGCTCACAGCACTGAAGGAGTTTATTGACGAGAACCTGGCAAAGGGGTACATCCGGCCTTCAAACGCGCCATGCGGCGCTCCGGTCTTCTTTGTCAAGAAGAAGAATGGTGACCTTCGTCTTGTTGTTGACTTTTGGGCACTGAATGCCATCACTTGGTCCGACTCCTACCCCATCCCTCTCTCAAACGAACTACTTGATTGGCTCAAAGCGGCAAAGGTGTTCACCACACTGGATATGCGTTGGGGCTACTACAATGTCCGCATCCGTGGGGGCAACAAGTGGAAAACATCATTCTGTACGCGCTATGGGCAGTTCAAGTTCCTCGTCATGCAGTTTGGGCTCAAGAACACGCCGGCAGCCTTCCAGCGTATGGTCAACAAGCTGTTCCATGATTTGGTTGATATCTCAGTGGTCCTGTACTTGGACAACATCATCATCTTCTCCGAGGACGAGTCAAAGCACAACGAGCAGGTCCGGGAAGTTTTGAGGCGTCTTTGGGAGGCCAACCTCTTCCTGAACCCGGCAAAGTGTGAGTTCCGGACAAAGGAGGTCAACTACCTTGGGCTGAAGATTTTGCCCGGCCACATCAGCATGGATCCTGTGAAGGTGCGCGGCATCACGGACTGGCCGGCACCTCAGAATGTCAGTCAGGTTTTCCAGTTCCTGGGGTTTGCCAACTTCTATCGTTGGTTCATTGAGGACTACGCATTCATCACCAAGCCACTGGAGAGGCTGAAGGGAAAGGATGTGCCGTGGTTGTGGGGTGTGGAGGAGGAAAGGGCTTTCCGGACGCTGAAGGCGGCGTTCACGCAGGCCCCGCTGCTGGTCATGCCGGATATGGTGGCTCCGTTCAGAGTTGAGACGGATGCGTCTAGTTTTGCCATGGGAGCGGTGTTGTTGCAGGAGTGCAGTGATGGGGAGTGGAGGCCGGTGGCATACTTCTCAAAGGCAATGTCTGTG